GAGTGATGACTACCATGTTGGTGAAAATGATACATGTTCATCATAAAAACTGGAACAAAATAGAAGAAGGAAAAGTAAAGAGGGATGGAAGCACAGCTCTTGTGGGTTAGAGTTTGGTATAATGGGGTCCTCTGCTGAGGGTCTCTCAGGCTGAAATTGAAGACTAGCAATGGGCTCACTTCTGCTCATGTGATCTAAGCCAATTAATCACGATTTAGCAACTGAGAAAGGAAGTGTTAATTTGATTAGCCAGCATAATCAAGAAGATGGCAGACTAATGTCTCAAAAAAACCATCTTCCTAGGCCGGCCTGGTGGCCCAGAGGTTAAAGTTCGCACCTTCTGCTTTGGTGGCCCAAGGTTCGCCAGTTTGGATGCCAGGTCCAGACATGGCACCACTTAGCAAACCATGCTGTGGCAGGTGTCCCACATATAAAGTAGAGGAAGATGGGCACGATGTTAGCTCAGGGCCAGTCTTCCTTAGCAAAAAGAGGAGGATTGGTGACAGATGTTAGCTCAGGGCTAACCTTTCTCAAAAAAAAAAAAAAAAATTCTTCCAAAATTACAGAATCCTGAGGTAGTGATATAGAGAAAATGAGCAGTAAGGAGGGGGTTTCCTTCAGGCATGATGGACTCCAGGGTCTTTCATTGTTCCATTCTTCTGTGAGCTGTGATGGATACCTTGTAGGTGTATTTCCTGCCTGTGGTCAGCTTGTTCCAGGAGAGAAATTCGTAGAACAAGGTTATAATTTATCAAGCTATCGGGGAGTACATATGTAAGTGGAGGCCATAAATCAGGAGAGCATGTGAATTTTTTTAGAGTATGTGCAGGGCAGCACATAGTCACACAGAGGAGGGGGTGGGGTCATTCAGCATCAACAAGATGGCCTCGCTTATGCTCACTTACAAAATTAAGGTGTAGACCAGAGCTGTGATCCCATCTGGGGCTTAAAGACCTTTCCCCGGCTTACTGGGAATGGCAGAATTCATTTCTTCATGGCTTTACGACTGATGTCTCTATTTTTTTGCTAGCTATTGGCCAAGAGTTCCAGTCTCATTCCTATGAGTTCCCCTTAGGGACCTGCCGGGTGGGGTCCCACATCACAGGTTTACTTCTCCAAGGCCAGAAGGCAATCACCTGTACTGCCTCTTTCTTTTAAAGACTCACATGATTAGATCAAACCTCTCAAGTAAAATCTCCCTTTTAATGAATTCAACATTGAGTGATTAAGGATCTTAATTATATTTGCATAATTTATTTTTCCATAAACCCTAACAAATTCATGGGGTGATACCCCATGCAATTCATAGGCCCCTCAGAGACTCACGGGCAGGGAGATTTTACAAGAGTACAGGACATTGGGGGTGGGAATCTTGGGGATATATTGGAATTCTGTCTACCAAAGCTGCTGTTTTTCAAATTCCTCAAAACGTAACTATAACTATCCATCTCCATTCAGCAGTATCTAGAAGCATGATGAGGCCTGGGAAGAGTCCAGAGAGTTACTCTTTTGGATTTTATGCCAAAAATTATTTATCCCTCTTTGAAGTGAGAAAATCATTCAGCACTTAATATTTTATGTAGTTTTTCATGACCTGGATTACAGCAAAGTAAGAGCAGAAAAAGTGGCTAAAAAAGAAGATACAAAAAGGAGATATCTTGCTCAATTCTTCCTTTATATGCTGAAAAACAACTAAATAAATCACATATTATTTCTCCACAGTTATTTTTTTTTACTGTAAAACTCCTTACAATGTGAATTGTGTCCTGAAAATTCTTTTCTCACTAACTTACCTTTATTGAAATACCCTTATGAGCAAGAGGTTACTCAACCAAATTCTCTTAGTCCATCATTTTCTTATTTTTCTAGAAAGGTTCATAAAATCGAATGGGCCCCAAGTAATGCCACAAAGGTTTCTATTTATTGTGCATGAACCAAATTATCTCAACTTCATAATAATGAATTTCTGTCAAGAAATATGATTAATTCTAACAATAAAAAATAAATCTTTGTTCTACACTTATTTCAAATATTAGAGTTTTTGTGGATTGTAAAGTTAAATGAATTTCATTTTGGGGGAACCCTCTCACCCCAAAAAGTGGAGAGTAGTCAGTCAGATGGGTTGGATAAAGTCAACTAGAGGAAGATCAGTATTGATTCTCTTTGCTCTTTCTGAGCTATTCAGTTTTATAAAGTGGCATTGCCTAAGGGGCAGGCTCATGAAGAAGTAAGGCCATCTAGATATTATTATGGCATTTCTCTTACAATTTCCTCCAGTTCTTTGATCACTGCAGGATACAAGTTTTCAGTCGCAAAAAAATTTGTATGGACAGAAAGTTTCTTTCATCTCACTCTGAATCTCCCTGACTGCCAAATATTTGCCTGCTGTAATAAGTTCGAAGTTCTTAAAAGGTATAGACTATGTCTGATGTCCTAAAGCAATGTACAAAAGATTTCAGAATTTTCCCTTCATTTCTGGGCTTGAAATAGACTTTGTAGCGAGTCAAGTCCATCAGACAGTTGCGGCATGTTGATCAAGGATAGAAAAATTATATTGTTTAACATTCGTAGAGGATTTAGAGTTTACAAAAACAAAATACCTTTCGAATTAGCTAGTGCAGCCTTCTATCTTATTATACATTGATCTTTCAGACTCCTCTTAAGGCATCTGATTTCTCATGAACACGTCAAATGATAGGGGACTTAGAATCTCTTCAAAAGACCCATTCATTAAACAAGATGGCATGCTTCTCACTAATCTCTAAGTCTGATGAATGTAGAGAGTGAGCAAGCTCTATTTGTCTTTGCATCTTTCTCTCCTCCCAGGACATCTCTCTGGCCTTACCACCTTGTAGGCCATAGATATTTTTTTAAGTAATTCAATTCTGAATAGTTTAACTTGTTAGAGATTTCTTCCCTTTTTTTAACCTAAAGTTACCATTTTAATAATTTAAATTATTGTTAATTCTACTAAGAGACTAACAGAATAAGCCTAACTGATATTCAACATGATAGCTCTTCAATATTTAAAAATGTGTGTCCTGTCTTGCTTTGATCTTTATCATTCCAGGCTAAACATTTCCAGTAATTGTAGCAGTTCTGTATTTTTTGTTTGAATAATGTTTTGCTATCTTATTCTGGCAATTGGTTGTGTTTTTTGAGTTTAATTCTTTTAACAAAACATGCTGGTCAAGCCATAGGCTGATCAAAATAAGAGCATTGTGGGACTATCTCCTCTCTTTTTCTAGATATTATATTTCTATTCACATAATCAACAGCCATAATATCAAACACTTCTTTCTCTTTCTTTCTTCTTATGTATGTGTTTTTGCTGAGTAAGATTTGCCCTGAGCTAACCTCTGTTGCCAATCTTCCTCTTTTTGCTTGAGGAAGATTTGCCCTGAGCTAGCATCTGTCCCTATCTTCCTCTATTTTATGTGAGTCACCGCCACAACATGGCCACTGACAAGTCGTGTAGGTCTGCACCAGGGAACCAAACCAGGGCCGCTGAAGAGGAATGCTCTGAACTTAACCACTAGGCCATAGGGCCAGCCCTCCATTCTTTATTTTTATTGGCTTTAAGATAAGTCAAAATTGCTAACAAGAAAGAGATGGAAATTGAAGAAAATCAATATTGTATATAAATAATCATGATGGGAGTAACTAAAAATAAAGTAAAATAAAGCATTGAGTAGAAAACAGATTAAAAATACATGAATAAGAATTGGAGAATTAGATAAAATAAAGGGAATAATTACAGGGAAAATAAATGTAGACCCTCCCGAATGAAAAAATTACTGTGAAAAAGAATGTCAAATCCAAGAGGTGTTACTATTTGCTATAATAAACTCCATGGAATTGTGAGTTTTTGAGGCTTTCACAGTGATTTTTTCGAATTTTCTTTTTCCATCCTCAGCAAAAATGCATAAAACAGCAAGATTGTCCTTAAAAGAGAGAAATACACCTCCTTTATTTCCCCAGGTGCACTGGGCAAAAAACATCTGTGTTGACACAGCAATTAGTAAGTCAATGGAGTCATACTAGAGGGAATTAATTTAGAAAACAGAAACTTTTAAAGGTCTCAGAAAAATTACTATGTTAATGTTCATTTCATGTTGTCTTAGTTTTTCACAGGGGATTAGAAATCAGAGCCGTTGACCTTAACGTTTTCATTTAAGTAAAGCACCTCAGCAACATCATATTTCTAGAATCTAATATTTTCAGTTTATTAAGAACATAAAGCCAATATTCAGAATAAAAGTGAATGTAAGTAGTGGTAAAGTTAAAATAGAGAATCAGTGACTATTGACAAATGACTTCCAAATGTTATGTTTCAGTTGTCTTTAATTTGATAATATATGTTCAAAGCCTTAATTATTGGTAAAATGTCCTGACCATGCAGTACAGTGCCTACTAATTACATATACAGTGCCGAGAACACAAAAGACCAAAACTCTTCATAATTACCACTGTGTATGTTTTTAAACCCTGATACAGTCTTCTGTTAGCAAAAAGGTCTAGATGTTCAAAAGTGTTTCATAGAGAATGATATTATTGTCAAGAAAAGAAAAGTGGTCCAAGAAAAACATATTTTGTTACACCAAATCTTAACTGGAATCTAGAGCTATCTTCAAGCATCCTATTTCAATTTTGTTTTATTTTAATTACTGCTTACCTCCACTAGATGTCAGTATTGTATAAGAGCAGAAAATGCTTCTCTTCAAATGTGTCCTCCCTGTGTTAACTGCTCATATAAAATGAATGAACCCTACCTAAGGATGTATGTGTCCACAGATGTCATCTAAATGTATGCAACTGATTAGCCTCATAAGTTACCCGAAATATTCTACACATAGGTGATTCTTAAAATATTTCCTTACCCACTAATTATAAAGGAAAATGAAATTTTGAAACCAAAGCAATTAGTATTAACTTGCAAATGCTCTGAAGCAATGCTCAGTCTTTGCCATCTCCTCACTTCTGATTTGTCCTCGCCGCAGCCATTAGATTTTGAAACAAAGAAGGCCTACACTTTTAAAGTCGAAGCCTCCAACCTTCACCTTGACCACCGGTTTCAGTCTGCGGGCCCTTTTAAAGACACGGCCACCGTGAAGATCAGCGTGCTGGACGTGGACGAGCCGCCGGTTTTCAGCAAGCCGCTCTACACCATGGAGGTTTACGAAGACACTCCGGTTGGGACCATCATTGGCGCCGTCACTGCGCAAGACCTCGATGTGGGCAGTAGTGCTGTTAGGTAAGAAAAAGAAATGTTTTCTTTACTGTGTGTCAGAAAAAGAAAGAAAAAAAATTGCTCTGTCTAAAATTGCATGAATGATTTAGTTTTGGAATATGGTGCTTGAAAAACGTAAGGACTTTTCATGATGAGTTTTAGAATAAAACCCACAGGATTTGAACAAAACCTCTGATATCAGTCCCTGCCCCAGGGTTTAGCAGTGTGTGGTGTTGGACGTGCCAATCAAGCTAACCAATCTCAATTTTTCATCTATAAAAAGAATTTAATAATATAACCCCAAAGGATGATTCTCATGATTAACGATATTAAGATACTTTCTTGGTGCCCGGAACATAACAGACATTTAATACTTTTTTCAATTACTCTAGAATCTCTGCCCCTTACCCCAAGTTACTGTTTGAAAAAGATGGTTTTACCATTCGCAATTTGTAGTTCATTTTTTCCCTGCGACACTTATGTCTGCTGATGGAAGCACAGTCAGAGGCAGTCCTGTGGTGAGGTGGATTATGGAAACGCTCGAAGCCCAGACTTTGCAAGGAGCTCCTGTTGGCATGAGGCAGCTGGGTAGTGAGTCAACACGGTAATCAATAGTGTAAGAAGGAGTTAAGAAACAATCTCTCTTCACCTTGGCCACCCCCAAACCCATAAATTCCACATGCACTACTGAAACGTGATGGGATTTCTCTTGTCCTCACTTCTACATTGATCCTGCAACATATTTTGAGACTTGTTTTGATTCAACTTTGCTCCTTCTGTATGTTTAAATTTCCTGCCACACATGAACCCTGATCTCAAATGCCTACAATTACCGGGAAACCAAAAATAAAAGAGAAATAAACATGATTTGTTCTGAATCTTGCACTTCTAAAGAGTTGAACCAGACGAAAGAGAACATCAATGCAAACATTTTAATGCCAAACCGCTACTTTATTGACATCAGGAAAATGTACACACATATCTCATAAGATTTTATGTCATAGGGTAATGAATGAATAAAAATAATGGATCAACCATTCATCAGCTGTCTCAGCACATTCATAGATACAGAAAACTCTCAGGAAATGGCTTGAGAGTATGCAAGCCCTGCTCTCTGTATTCATTTGAATGCATCCTCCAAAATGGCCTGAATATTTTCCTTCTTGAAGTATGTCTGTGATCACAAGAGACCTCTAAAAAAGTACATTCGTCTTGGGAAAGGGAAGAAAAATAGCAATTACTGAGCACCCGTGTGTCGGGTTGAATGCTGGCTAATTTACTCATTGGTTTCAAGCTGTTGTTCTCCATGTCCGTATTAGAACATGGTTCACTTTCAGTTAAGCTTCAGAAAACTATATTTATTACCAGTGTTTGTAGGGGCATTGTCAAGAATCTGCCACATTAGCAGTTGTTATATATTAACCTATCATCATTCATCAGTCTTGTTCCTGATGACTCTGATGTGCTGTTGATAGTTGTGAAAGTGGGAAATACCTGGGGAGTAGATTTAGAGGTAATTTCAAGAATATAAACAGTTATAGAAGAAGTATTGAAACTTGTAAAGTAATAAAAAGGTAAATAACTATGGATTGAAACTCCCCACAGTTCAATAACTGAGAATTTCTGAACATAGTGGAAATGGTTTCTTAGAGAATACGCTAAGTTGTTTAATTTACTCTGTTCTATTTCTGAAGACTGATGAAGTGTGATTAGGTCAAAATATTAATAAAAATATGATTGTAATGCCATACTTAGAAAATGCCACCTGGTAGTGTAAGATGAGAGTTACAAACTTTCAAATACAAAAAATGGTTAAGAGTCAAGACCCTGGTTTAAGGATGAAGGAAGTCTACGTTTTAAAGAAATTCTCCAGCTACAGGCCTGGTTTTTTTATTTCTTTGTTTTTTAATGTCACAGGAACTAATGTCTGGCAAGTCTTCTTTATGTGAATAAAATAGTTTCCCTAGTTTTACTTCTAATGGGGAGCAGCCTACTCTCTAAAGCCGTAGACGCGTGTGGTTCTAATTGATCCCCGTGAGGGGTTGTCAAAAGAGGGAGCTGCTTTGAAAGAACATGAAAGTTGTCTTACTTCCACGTCCTTGGAGTAAACAAGAAGCTTGAATCATGTCAGCTGAGGAATGTGTGCCGTGAATCATCTTTTCTTGGTCTGAAAACATGTTTGCTCACTTAAGAGTGATAGTAAAAATATGTTGTGAAAAATAAGCATCCAAATGTGAAATTGCTTGACATTTTTCTCTAGGCCCTGGGGGGTGTTTTTTTTTTTTTTCTTTTGCTTAACTGTCTTTTCATAGGGTTATTGTGCAAGGTATTAATTTAGAACTATGTTATTTCATACCACTGGGTATTTTATTATTATTGTTATTTTATCATCACTGAGCACAGCAAAGAGCCAGAATGCAATGACGTTAACAAAGGGTTTAAACAACTTAGAAGAAAGTTCAGTTAGATTTGATGCCTCTAAAGGTACCATGGCTGGTCCCCCTGCCCCGAGCTTCATTTCTAGTTATTGTTTCCTTTACTTTTCTAGCCTTTCCCTTAAGATGCGCTGAATTCCCGCCTCTGGTGCTCTATGTCCTTTGACCCTCTTATTGTATAGTTCATGGGAGTTATTTCTAAGTGAGTCAAATATGAGTGCAATGAGTGTACAACCACTAGTGAGGTAGAGGATTTTCACAACAGTAGTCTCTTAAGTTAAGAAATGAAATTTAAAACAGGTGACTATTCAGTTACATTGGAAGTTAGTATTTGTTTTGAATATGAGTGATTTGAGTTGTAGAGAGATTTTAGTGGATAATTTTCCTCAATAAGTGGCATTTTTCTTTTGCTCCAAATATGTACAAATCTTAGTTATTCTATGAATGAATTTTAAAACAAAGTTTGATCAAGTTAATTGTGTGTATAAATTGAGAAAATGAACAATCTGATTTTAAACTCACTCCAGGTACGAAGTGTTGGGTGATAAGATACTGACGACATAAAGTAAAATTTATTTTATGCCTATAAACTTCCATGTATAAATTCAAAACGACAGTATATAATAAAACAATGGAATAGTTTATTTTTCATGTTACCTTGTTTTGTTTAATGATATTTCCAACCAAAATCCACCACTTAAAATCAAGTAGTGAAATTGATTAATAAATAGAAAATCATTATTAATTACCATGAGTAGATGTAATATTTAAAATAATTTATGGGGTCTTTATGGGGTCAGCCCGGTGGTTCAGTGGTTAAGTTCACAGGTTCCACTTCAGTGGCCCAGGGTTTGCCTGTTCGGATCCCAGGTGCAGACATGGCACCACTTGGCAAGCCAAGCTGTGGCCGGTGTCCCACATATAACGTAGAGGAAGATGGGCATGGATGTTAGCTCAGGGCCAGTCTTCCTCAGCAGAAAGAGAAGGACTGGCGGCAGATATTAGCTCAGGGCTGATCTTCCTCAGGGAAAAAATAAATAAAATAATTGATAACTGGTTGTTAAAATATAAATGTCTATCTGTGCCCTGCTTAAAATTATCTAATGTCTCAAACCTGGTCTGTTCACCACATTTTTGGAAAAATTTCTGAAATCAATTGTAACTGATTTTTTCATTGTGGGTTAACAAGCTATCAAAGTAGCTGGTTTTCTTTATGGGCTCTTCCCATACATCAGGAATCTTATTATATACGTAAAAACTTAAGCTCAACTACAAACCACATTTAGGGAGTGAGAGGAAAGAGAGGCCCAGGTTGTCAAGTGGTGTCCTATAGCAACATGTATAATTGATTTTAAATATTAATTAAATTAAATGGTAAAAAGTTAAAAATTTGAGAAATTGCCCATTTTCTATTTTTCACTTATTTAGCACAATTTTTGTGAGGATTAAATGAGGTATTGATATACAGTGTTTAATTTTTAAAATTTTTAATAGATTTTATGTTTTTAGAGCAGTTTAGATTCACAGAAAAATTGAGAGAAGGTACAAAGATTCTCCAGGTACCCCTGCCCATACACAAGCATAGCCTCTGCCATTATCAACATTGCCCACGAGAGTGGTACATCCATTACGATTGATGAATCTACATTGACATATTATTAAGCAAGTCCGTAGTTTACCTTAGGATTCACTCTTGATACTGTACATTCTCTAAGTTTGAACAAATGTATAAAAACATGTACCCATTATTATAATATCATACAGAGTATTTTCACTGCCCCAAAACTCCTCTATCCTCTCTCTCTTCATCCCTCCCCCGCAGCAACCTGTGGAAACGATTTATCTTTTTACTGTCTCCAATAAAGCCGCCAGTTTAACTGTTCCTACAATGTCATATAGTTGGGATCATACAGTATGTAGACTTTTCATATTGACATCTTTCTCTTAGTTGTATACATAAAGCTTCCTACATGTCTTGTCATGGCTTGATAGCTCTTTTTTTTTTTTTTTTTTTTTTTTTTTTTTTACTATTGAATAATATTCTGTTGTCTGGATGTATCCATTCACCTACTCAAGGACACCTTGATTGCTTTCAAGTTTTGGCAATCACATCCATGTACAGGATTTTACGTGGACATACATTTTCAACTCGTTGTGTCAGTACCAAGGAGATCAATTGCTGGCTCATATGGTAAGAGTACATTTACAGTTGTAATAAGTCGCCAAACTGTCTTCCAAAGTGGCTGTACCATTATACATTCCCACCAGCAATGAATGAGCATTCCTGTTGTTCCACATCCTCACCAGCATTTGGTGTTGTCAGTGTTCCAGATTTTGGACATTCTCATAGGTTTGTAGTGGTACCTTATAATTGTTTTAATTTGCATTTCTCTGATAACCTATGATATGGGGCATCTTTCTTCTGCCTGTTTGCCGTTTCTATATCTTCCTCGATAAGAAGTCTTTGACCCATTTTTTAATCAGATTATTTGTTTTCGTATTGTTAAGTTTTAAGAATGTTATTTTTTTCCAGTCCAAACAAAATAAGCAGAGTATACTAGTAAAGGTGTTGCCTTTTTTAAATATTGT